AAAATTGTTGGAACCTGCACATTGAGATTGAGTGTGGACTTGCACTCATAATTCATAACTTCGCAAATTGATACTGCACTGTATCGATAAAAAAGAATAATGCACTGATTTTTGTAATAACTTAGCACGTACATGGTTGGCTATTAGCAGATACAAGTAGCTGTTGAGGATTTTCACGATGCCCAGCCAATGTGTGAGTTGGTTGTGTTGGCCCAAGCCAGCAGATGACACTGAGGCCTTTGCTTGAGAAGTTCTTGGATCCTAAATATTTACAATAATTACAGGGTTCTCAACAAACAAAGTTTCACAGCTGATGATTACTTTTTCTCAAGAGAGGCAGTACCTGAATGCACAGCTCAAGCAATGGATTTAGCTCCTTCTTCAGTTTGTCACTTAGCAACCCGTACACCTTTTCAATCAGATCCACAAGCTGCTGCTTGAAGAGCAAAGCTGGATATTTTGCATCAATTTGGTGCGATGCACCAGGTTCATCCAATAATTGACCACTTAAATAAGCAAGCCCAGATGCTTGATTAGCTTGATAAATCCTATCATACGACATTTTTCGTCTATATGGAACTGAGGTTGCTGTCCTAGCAGTTCTAAAAGAGCGTTGCAGGAGAACTGATAATGTCGATAAGTTGGATAACCAATAGGCCAAGCTTCTCGTGTCATGTTGAGCCTTGAAGTAAGAGGAATGTCAGTTAATATAAGAGCAAATGTAGTGATTCTGGATTTCAGGTACTGGCAAATTGGCTGCATAAAGCTGTCTCGTATCATGCTACAAGGCGCAGGATAGATGCTACTCAAGTACCATTATATAGCGTAATTAAACATAATTAACAGAGTGCTACAAACCTCTGTTGCTGAGTTTATAGCCTGTAGGATACTGTCAAAGACACCTGTCTTTGTGACTTCAAACGATCTCGAATGAAGAAGATATTGGTATATAAGAAGAGCAGCAACAGGTTTGCTCCCAGAGAATCCAAGATGTTGGGTAATGTACTTAAGTAATAACTTCTGATCATCCTGGGGCTGCTGATGTTTAGAAGGGCAAAAAAGCATTTTAGCAAATGGGAAGGGGTGGGCAGGTAAGCAAGTATCAACCAGCCTACCTGATATGCTTCACTAAGTAGTACCCTTTGCATTTTCTCCCCAGTATCATAGTCCCTGTGGATAGTCAAATCAGGGGCACTACCCTGCCATATTATTTCGACAAAAGTCATGACTGCTCAATCAAACAATATAAAAATAAAAAACTGGCGTGTGCTTGGTTAAACTACCATATAGGGTCTTGTTTCTGCTGTACCAAACGAGGACCTCATTTCAGCATATGGTACGTTGCCATTTAAAATATGACCATTTTCTTGACTTCTCTGTTGAAATGCATCTAATAAATCAGATGAGAACATTCAACAGTCATGCGAATGTAAGCTCTATTGAAGGCACATTACATGGATCATACTGATTTTAGAGTATGAAGCTTGAGATTTGGCGGTAGATGGAGTCGACACAATCGAATGCTGACGAAGAGTTTGGTTTTCTGCCTCTAAGTTAGATGATTTTCCTTCTAGCCTGTGTTGTGGATACAGTTGTTCCATCAAAAGTAATCACAAAGGAGCGCATGATTTGGACATATGAATTACCAAAAATGAGAAAAATATTGTAAAGGAATACCTTTGTACGGTCTCCTGAAGCTCTTCGACTTTCTTGATAAGGTCATCATTTCTATCAAGGAGGTCTTCATTTCTCCTTATTAGATCTTCATTTCTTCCACGAGCCTCAGTAAGTGCTTTCTTCACAGCATCACTTTCTTGTTTCTCCAGTACGAAGGAAGACAGTCTTGATATGGCATCTACTTGAAGCCTAATCGGTGAAGACGTTAGTCTCCAAAAGGACAACATGATGACTGATAATGATGGAATTGTACTTAGTGCACAAAACTGTAGAAAGCCAGATAGTAAGTTAAAATACCAACTTTTGCACAGTATCTTGGAGCTGGTGGGCCTTGTATTCACCGTCTCTAATTTTCATAAATAGCTCATCATTTCTCTCCTGAGCTTCAACAAGAGATTTCCTAATTGCGTCATTTTCTTGTTTTTCAGCTTCCAAAGAAGCATCTTTCGCCACTATGTCTTGTTCAAGCCTGTTTTCGGCCAGAAACAACTGTTTAATCTCATGGGTTTAACAACCAATGGAGTTAATTTTGCAAAATCTACATATGTTGTACTCCCTCCGTTCCTAAATATAAGTCTTTGGAGACATTCCACTATGGACCACATACGGAGTAAAATGAATGAACTACACTCTAAAATGCATCTATATACATCCGTATGTGGTCCATAGTGAAATATCTACAAAGACTTATATTTAGGAACGGAGGGAGTACTACCTCTGTACCGAAATACTTGTAGCTGACGGAAACTAGTACAAGTTCCCCCAACTACAAGTATTTCGGTACGGAGGGAGTATAAACCATCACAAAATACAAATTTAGGAAACAATTTCATAGAACTCCACATGAAGTCACGATGTATTGCACAACTCCATATTTTTGGTTTCCAGTTAGTTTAAGTGATAGAGCCCACATGTCAGTGCCTCATTGCTCTCATCTAGGTGTAAAGAAGTGACACAGCTGCTGCCACGTCAGCATCTGACATGGCTAGGGTTCTCTACATGGGCATGCAGTACACAAGCTAGCAGAAAAAAAGGTGTCAACTAAGGACACCTGTACCGCCTGCCCAGGTAGAGAGCACATGTTGGGTGCAGAGGTAGCAGCAGACGTGTCACTCTGTTACCCCTTGATGAGAACAATGAGACACTGACAGGTAGGTCCCAACAATGAAAAACTAAGATGATGCACTTGTACCACATAAACCTAATCAAAGGTACATACATATGTATACTGTTTTGCAGATGCTCAATTTTTTTGTTGGTTTCACCAATTTTTATCGTTAATTCTTCATTTTTGTATTCAGTCTCAGTGAGTGCTTTCTTCAATTCATCCTTCTCTTGTCTCTCAGATAGCAGCAACGTGTCTTTCTCTGTATGGTCGCCAAGCCTGAATTGAACCAACAAAGAAATGGCATCACAAATATCAGCATCACATATACGAAGATGTAGTATGCATCGACATATCGAAACACAGCTTAAAAAACATAGGTGCATAAAGTACCGCTGTATGGTGCCTTGTAGAAGGTCAATTTTCTTGTCAACATCCTCAAATTTCTTTAGTAATTGCGAATTTTTTTCTTGACTTTCTTCTTGCACCTTCATGGTTGCATTGTTTTGCTCTCGTTCTCTCAAGAGTAAAGCCTCCTTTGCAGATGCATTTTCTTGAAGCCTGTAATCATTGAAAGAGCTATGTAGTTAATTAAGAGGGATAGAGCATAAG